CCCATTGTGAACCCTGTCTCAGCGGCGCAGGGTGGCTGAAGTGAGGCCTGATGAGCCGTTGGAGTTTCTTGCCGCCGGCTCGAAAGGCTCTAGCGGAATTCTTCATTGTGACCGCACTTAACTGTGTCTCTGTCAATGTCCATATGCCACTGCCCATTGAAAGAACAATGTCCTCTTTTGATCGAAGACCTCCTGGGTTGCTAGTACCCACAACCAGCAACGAATCCTGTTCATGGACAGGTCCAGGGTGAGATGCTTCCCCGTGTCTTGTAACCGCCATAAAATGGCCATGATGCTCCGGAACATCGCATGGCATCATCCCCGACCCAATGTCTCGGTCCACCGAAGTGGCTGAGCTGTCATAGAAGTGCCGGGCAAAGGATGTGCCATGCTGCAGAGCGAAGGCAGGGCAAAGAAATTGAAGAAACCAAAGTGCCAAAAAGAACCGTTTGGGTCTACTGTAGATTCCCGGCCTCCAGAATGACCCCGTTCTGAAGCCGGTGGGCCGTAGTCAATTTGTTTTGTGTCGCTTCTCCAGCAGGGCTTCAAGCTTGCCATATTGCTGGTTGAAGGACTGCATCATCTCGCCTGAGAGCTCTTCTTTCATGGAGCGAACTGCTGTCTGAAAGTTGTTGCCCATGGAATGGATTTCCTGCTGGTGCGTGTTCAGCGTCGAGTGAACCTCCCCAATGGCCTTCTCTGCATTGTTGACTGAAGAAGCCAGTTGCTGAAGAGCTCCAGCATGAGTGCTGACATTCTCTTGGACCTCCTTCATGACCGTCTCATTCTGTTGGAGTCTTTCACCAGTTTGCTGAAACCATTGCAAAAACTGCCCATTCTGCTGCTGAAGTTCACAAAGTCCAGTCTCGAGTGCCATGAATCTTTGTTCCGTCTCAGTGGTGTAGATGGGGTCTTGATCGTCCATCATGTCGTCCTTTTTGTTCAGCTGATCCATGGCAGTCTGCACATCTTTGCGAATTTGTTCTTGAAGATCTGCTCGGTGTGTTTGGCTCACTTTTGCCGGTGTTGAGCCTGAAGGTTTGTAACCACCCCAGGGATCCTTGTCAAGCCAAGGGTCAGAGTTGTTGCCAATTCGACTGCTAGAAGTCATAGCAGCTGGCTTTTCCCGTAGGAGCTTCTGAGTCTTGGCAGTGGCATAGGTTTGAGGCTTCTGCTCTGGTTTGTGCAACTCCTTGACTGCTGTGATCACAACATCTGAGCCAAAGGCAGTCATGATTGGAGCTGGAGGTGCATCTGATGATCCAACTCGCCAAGCCATGTGGTGAAAATTGCCACGTCCTGGTTGTAGAGCTCGTGCTTTCCACTCCCAATCGCTCAGGATCTTTGCAATGGCTTGCCTTTGAGTTCCGTGAGGGATGGGAAAGAGCTCATAGATTCGTTGAATGCTCATGTCAATGAACTCAATGCCAGGTCGAAGTTTGGCCCATGCGGCAGCTTCATCAGCCTTTTTGACTCGAATGCCATACTTGCCCTTGAATCTGGCCAGGCAGATGGACTTAGAGTATGTCCTGCATTGATGTTGTGCATCATCATAGCTCGTGCCGGGCAGCCAGATGACCCTGAATTTGTCATCATGCTCTCTGGGTTGAAGACCCCTGGGCTCGACGTAGATACCAACAGGCATGGAAGTCATGATCTTCACCAGGGCTGATTCCGGCAGTCTCACAAAGACAGAGAATTGCCAGGCCTCTGAAGGCTCGATCTTTTTGCCTTGGTCATCCATAAAGTTCCTGGACCAAACTTCGAGCACCACCGCATCCAGTGATTCATCAATGCCTTGGTGATATTTGGCACATTCAATTCCACAATTGTTGCCCTTGCAAAGCTGCATGGCGTCGACCAGGTTGATGATGTGGCGAACAGGAGCCTTGCAAAAATCAGCCCATGATAGTTCAAATTGGTCTCGATAGACCTGGATTTTGAGTACCTGAGTGTCAATCTTCTCAGGCGCACTTTCATTGCCAGCCATCTTCCGTGTGATGGTTGAGTCACCAAGCTGCATAACATGTCCCATGATTATCGTGTGTTCATCAGTGGTAGTGCAGAGGGCTGGAAAGATCATGGGGCTCAAACCAGCATCCTTGATGACCTGTTGTGAGGGTGAGTCAATGATCAGCAAAGCAAGTCCACGCAAGCTGATCGACTTGGGATTCTCTAGGAAGTGTCTCGCCATTGCCGTTGTGCAAAGTGCAATGCCTTGACAGTCAGCTTCAACTTCTTGAAATGCAATCTGATTGACTGGCTCACCATCACCATCTTGAAAGTGCTTGGGATTCAAACGGAAAAGGTCAGGATCAAGTTGAACTGGAGAGCCACGTGTCATTGATGCCTGCTTCTTGCTCTTGGCATGCTGGATTTTGGCGCCGTGTTTGGTTTGAGCTCGTGCATCGACATAGGCTCTCTGTTCCTCCTCAGTTACAATTCGGAACATGCGTCCTGGTTTAGACGCTGCTGATTTGAGAGCGGCCCAAGGGTTGGTGGTCTTCATGATCTGTTGGACCTGTTGGAACCCCAATTTGTCATGAATCATCTTGACCCTCTCATCAGCATGTTGTGGTGGGACTCCTTTGTTGATAAGCATCTGCTCGAGAGAGTCAACCACTGATCCTTTGCCACCTGCCGTAGTTGATGGGCAGGCCGTAGTACCAGCAAGGAAGAAGGCATGAAGTGCTCGTTCGTCTTGCATTGGTAATTGTGAAAGGATCTGAAGTTGATCCGCCATATTCATCAGCGCAATGGTGCCGCACGTGTGGTTGTCTTGCTGTTGAAAAGATGGCATTGAAATGCAGGCTCCCATGTCAAAGTCCAAGCATTGGGAGATGCATTCAGCCACTTGTCTGGCTATCTGGCTTCTGGCTGAATTGGGCGCTGGCTGAAGTCCATCATAGTGCACCCAATGAAGTTGAACATCTTGACGACCAACCAGCAAAGTCCAATGGTTGTCGTATTCATAGATGATCATGATATCGCCATTGGAACTGTGGTAGCGGAGCTTCCAGTTCATGCAGACTGCTTGATGTGGCATTTTCCTGAGTAGGTGTACTGCACGAAATGGGTACAACGTCCATGGCCTGGTCAGTGTGGAGGAGGAACTGCAAAAGTCCAAAAGCAGGTTCATCCCTTCCCAGATGTGAGTGTCACCAAGTCCCTGCATGTTGTTGTGGAAATGCATGCCGTCACCAGCAATGTGAGGAGAAGTCCAAATCAATGAGCTGGATCGGGCTTGCTGCTTGGTTTTGATCACCAGATCGTAGCTTTCATTTGTCTGTAGTTGACACCATGGTGGAAGCCTTTGAGAATTCCTGGTAACTACCACATAGTAGCCTGCCCCAATCAATTGTGATTCAGCACGTTCAAGTTCCGCAACCGTGGTTGGCTGTTGTAGTGTCACAGGACAGACTGTTCCGTCAACCTGCACGTTGATGGATCTGGGAAGTGACATGCTGGCCAATCTCCATCGTTGTGCCCTCTGTTGCAGCAGCTCATGTTTGAAGTTGTGCAACATCTCCATGGGGTTGACGCAAGGACAGAGCCAGAAGTGCTCCTGAATGTGCGCCAGGAATTGTGACTGAATCCACATCACCTGCATGGGGGCCGCAATCTGGCCAAGAAGACATAGGGCCGTTCTCATGGACGCAGGGAAGTTGAAGTTCAGAGGAACTGTGCACAACAGTGCTCCTTCTTCTGGATGAAGGTGTCGCACTTGTCCATGAAAGGCTGAGACAATCCCAAAACCACGAGCGCCTCCTTCTCGAAGACGTTGAAGGGATAACGGCCAGCTTCGACAGCCACATGGGCATGGACGAAAGACATTGGCCCATGAATGAAGCATGGTGGGAGCCTTGTTTTGTGGCCGTAGAATCCTCAGGTCATTGCCAAAGTCCAAATCAAAGTAGAAGTCCAATTCTTGTTGTTCCCACATCAACTCATGTTCATGGGCTTCCGGCCAAAGTGCATCAAAGGGCATGACATTGCCAAGGCGGTGACAATGAGTGCAGCTGGGCCATACATGTAGTATCATTTCAGGAAGCTTCTTGGTGAACATCAAGCACCAGAATCGATTGCGTCGGACTGGCCATTGAGCTTGAAGATCAAAAACCACCTTCTCAATGTGCATAACTGCATTCTCGGCAAAGGTGTCCAAGGTGGTCATGACGTCAGGGAAATTGATGACATTGTCTACGCACTCCAAGAGCAAAGAGTCCGCTTGGAGTAGCCATGCGCATCGAAGAATGGCATTCAGAACATTTCCACGCAAGTCCTGTGATCCCTGCATGTCACCCTGACGTGAGAAAGGTTGACATGGAAAACCTCCTGTCACCTGAAAAAAAGCATCAGTCTTGAGCTCATGCAGTGCCTGGACATTTGTGATATCCTCAACTTTTCCATGGACAACTGGCGCAGAGAAGTTGCTCTGCAACACTTGACATGCTAGATCATTGCTTTCCAGAAACGCCATGGTGTCAATGCCTAATGGGCTCGACCCCATGGTAAAACCACCAATCCCACCACAGAGATCGAAAATGGACATCTTCTGAAATTGATGCATCTTGTGCTTGGGGAAATGCTTCGAGAATGGACCGAAGCCAAGGCACAATGGATCATGAGACAAAGGCACCAAATTGTAGAAGGTGAACACATCAAGGTTCAGCTCCAAGTCACTGGCGAGCAAGAAGGACTGCCGAGGCCAGAGTCCCAAGCACTCGTAGAGATTCAGCTCGGCTTTGCGTTGCACTTGCGCAACAAGCGAGATCGGTTGGCCCAGGGGGGCATCAGGCAAGTAGGAATCCATGGGGGTATTTGAACGGTCTCCCAGTATTCCGCAGACTCAGCCTAACTAACTGGAAAGAAATGGGCCAAAGGCTATACATACATATATAGATATATATATATATAGGTCTAGATAGTCAATCAACCAAAATCATCCCGCTATACTTAGGTAGTTGTTACCTGTTACTGTTCTCACCCGCGACAAAAAGGTGCCCCTTGATGAGTTGGCCAAGCTCGCGAAGAAACACCGTGCCCTGGAGCTTCGATTTTTCACCGTTTTTTCCCCCGAAAAATGCGGACCGGGAGCGCACCGTTTGAGACATGTAAATCTGGTTGGTGGTGACTGGAACATTGGTGAAATATATGGTTTAATATGGTTTAATATGGGATAATATGGGATAATATGGTTTAATATGGTTTAATATGGGATAATGATGGTTAATGATGGTTAATGATGGTTAATAATCATTGGTTGGTGGTTTAAGGAACTTTCCATATGTTGGGAATGGAATGTCATCATCCCAACTGTTACTCACTCCATCATTTTTCAGAGGGGTAGGTACTGTATACCAACCAGTAAATGTTGAGATCAATGGATTGGTTTAAGGGAAAATCTTCGCCAGAATTCCCATCGAGTTTCCCATCGAGATCATTTTGGGCTTGCCTGTAAAGTTTCCAAGCAATCCATTGATATGAAATATTGACACCTTAGAAGGGGATCTCCTGATTCTTGGACCAAATCATATGTGCTTGAAGAAGAAACTGTCACAAACATCGATACAATTGGGAGGAAGGTGAGGAAGGAATGATGATTGATGATTCATGTGATCTTGAGGGTCGTCACCCAACAAACATTCTGATTCTGTGACCAATCATGGAACAATTGTGACTGATCACCAAGTGGTGAATGAACCAGCAGTTAGGGGAAGATGCATCCTTGAAGCTTCCATACTGGCCATGAATATTTGAGAGAACACTTCTATATTCTGAGTAAAAGCACTCTGAAACTTAGCTCTGATCAAACCTACCCATTGATCCTTGAGGGTGACCGGCCTTCCTAGGCTCCCCCATTATGTAGTATTTTAACCGTGTTAACCTTGGCCATTGTCGCATCCAAATCTCCAGGTTGGCAGAGGGAGAAGGGAAAGGTTTCCGATCAGCAGTGAGCCCATAACTTTCTCAACGGCCTTAAATGCTGGAGGCATGGGCCCGACTTTGAAGGCCGACCAGCGAAAAAAACGCATCACGAGAGATATCAGATCTTTGGACGTTTGCGATTCGACTGATTGCAGCGATCGCGTCGAAAAAGATGTGGCTTGCTTTATTGATTTTATTGTAACCCCCCAGAGACCATAGAATGGGTGTTTAATTGTTTGATATACTGTATTTCATATGTCATACGGGGGATGGGGTTAACTGAAGATTTAAATTTCAGCTGGTGAACGCTGATCTTGAGAGTTGAGCGCTCCCTCAATGATCTCAGTACCCTCTGGTAAACGTTTACACAGCTATGGAAAATCACCATGTTTAATGGGAAAACTCACTATTTCAATGGCCATTTTCAATAGCTATGTGGCTGTTTACCAGATGGTACATCCCATTAAAATCACCATTTTGTTGGTTAAACCCCATTAAACCACCATTCAACCACCATTTTCCTATGGTTTTCCACCATTAGGACTTGTCAGATTTGTGCATCGCCTTTGTGACCACGTCGTGGGGTGCCTCAGAATCCGACGAAACGTCGCGGCTGAGAAAAACGGTCACATCAGGTCACCGTACGTAGAGAGAGGGAGATTTTACACGCCATACAACAAGAATTACCATCTGGTTATTTATGGGGTTTAATGGGGTTTAATGGGGTTTAACCAACAAAATATGGTGGCTTTAATGGTTTTTACCATCTGGTTATTACTAACAGACATAGCCATGGAAAATCACCGTATTTTTAATATATAGGTAAACCACAGGTAAACCATCTATTTCGATTAGGGCCATCTATACCATGGCGAACTGTTAAATACCCAGATGGTAATGTGACTTCATTTGGTATACAATCAAAATACACATCAATATGCCACAATGATGTGATTCGATTCTTAAGTAACAACCCTGTCATGAAAGGTGCAGAATTTGGGCGACACTGGGATTGTCCAAAGCGTTTTGGCTTCAGCTGGGCCTTTTGCTACAATTTTGTCAGAGGCCGCATTTTTAGAGCCGCCCCTGTCGGGATTCTCAGGTTCAGGGCCGCCGGGGGAATCCAGCAACATGTAGAGTATGATTATGATATTATCATATACTATCAATATATTATCGATATGATGATATTATCATATACTATGGACATTCTGATGCACTTTTTTCATCACCTTGATATATTATGAACTATTGTGATAACATACGATAACATGATGGTGTTGTATAGGAAGAAAATTGCATTTTGAGGGGAGGGCCCGGATGGGCCCGGACGGGGAAAGCCACGTATCGACGTATCGACTCACGTGGCACATCCAATTAATAGACAATCCCCAATGTTCTACTATAAAATGCCCATAGATTAGTGGGATTAAGACCATCCCCAATTTTTTTACGGGAGGTTTATGGCATTGGGTTTGCCACATTAGGATAGTTGCCCAATCTCAGGTTTCCAATGGAAGCCTTTACCATTGCCACCCCATCTGCGACAGTGGGTCGCACAGTGGCAGCACCACAGGCTAGGAACTCTCTTTGTGCATTTGGGTTCGGTTCAATTTGGAACAAGGTGAAACAAAGACATAAAAAGTATCAACAGGTGGGATAGTATAATAACCCCGGTCATTTCATTTTAGCTTGGCTTGCACCTCAACACTGCCAATGCATTGCCGGCCCAGAAAACGATAAGAGTAACAAGAAACGATAACGAGCTTATACAAGTACATGTTCGTGAAGCCCGGGGGTGGCAACCTGCACAGGCCTCCAAAAACGATAGGTAAACGATAACAAAAAGGCTCATGAAATATGAAAAAAATCGCGAGCATTTGGGTGGATACGACCGGTTTGAGCATATCAACTTTCGAAAACCTGTATCTTTGATTAAAGGAAATGAAAACAGAAGATGACAGTTGACTCTCGACCAAGGATGCTTTCACACCCACAGAAAGCTGGAAAAATCACACTTCTTGTCTACAGGGAGCGCTCACCACCTGAGAAAACGATACGAGTAAAAAAAACGATAACGTGATTTTGGGTCATTTAAAAAGATACCGTTTTTTCCTCACAATCCCAAGTGTTGAAAAGTATCAACAAAAGGTAACGCTGTCACCCGCACAAAGGTAGAAACGATTTGAAAGGCTTCAGTCGCTATTTTCGTAGGATTCACCAGCTTCGATCGTGGGAGGGTCTCGCCAGTCTTCTGTGAGAACAAGGAGTCTCATCAGAGGGGTTCTCATCAGCTTGGAAACAAATTAAAACAAATTATAAATCATTTTGAAACATTAGATTTCATTAGATTTCATTAGATTAAATTTCAATGATAATCATGTTTCATACCTGTTTTTGGGGCAAACATGATGTGACATATGCTGTGGCCCTGGTAGCCATTGTGGCCCCACCTCGACCTCCCCTTCTCATACATTCTGATGTGACATAGTACTGCACTGTCTTTCTGGCCAATGTAATAAGAGTATCAAAAGATTGACTATGTATTGAAATACACTATTATCAAGTAATTGGTTGTGACGCACTGTACTTGTCTTGTTTAAGCATGTGCTATATTTACTCGCAGCTATATTGTAAGCACTTGGCACTTTTTATTTGTATTTAGATGCAATTCTCCTCAAAAAAATGTTTCAATATATTGTAAAATTTTCTGATAAAGTCTGCCAAAAAAAAAGGACATTGCAGCAATACTAAAATTAGTCTACACAGACTAAATCGAATACTAAAATTTGGCGCAGGAGGTGCCAAAATCTGTAATTTTTTTATTTTTTTTTATTTTTTTTTTTTTTTTTAATTATTTTATTTTTTTCTAATTTTTTCTAATTTTTTCTTATTGTTTTCTAATTTTTCCTAATGTTTTCTATTTTTTTTCTAATTTTTCTAATTTTTCGCATATGTATACTTTTGTTTTTGTAATTTGTTCCGCAACCCTGGAGGGGCTTCCCCTCTTGGTGTGCCAGGATGTGCTCCTGGGGGCAATCACACGTAGAGTGGAGTTTGCTTCGGAGTCAACCACCGTGGAGAAATCACTGGGTCCTGTGCACAATTGTTCACAGTTTGTAAGCACCAACTGGGGTAACTGCAATTGTAATAAAATTGGCCCTTGCCAGCAATCCCTAATATCAGAGCAACCCTCAACCCCAGATGTGATTAAGTGTTAAAACAACTTGTATTTAATATGCATCATCATTACAAAGATTCTATCTTAATAGTTGGAGCACGGCCTTTATCTGGCCGTGCGTTTTCGTGCACATTGGGGGGGTGGGGTGGGGTGGGGTGGGGTGGGGCATGTGTTAACGTTCATGTGAACTTGCTAGGTAAGTGGACTCGTCTCTGTGTGTGCCGTTATGTGCGTGTAGACATGGGTGGGGTGGGGCATGTGTTAACGTTCATGTGAACTTGCTAGGTAAGTGGACTCGTCTCTGTGTGTGCCGTTATGTGCGTGTAGACATGGGTGGGGTGGGGTGGGGTGGGGCATGTGTTAACGTTCATGTGAACTTGCTAGGTAAGTGGACTCGTCTCTGTGTGTGCCGTTATGTGCGTGTAGACATGGGTGGGGTGGGGTGGGGTGGGGCATGTGTTAACGTTCATGTGAACTTGCTAGGTAAGTGGACTCGTCTCTGTGTGTGCCGTTATGTGCGTGTAGACATGGGTGGTGTGGGGTGGGGCATGTGTTAACGTTCATGTGAACTTGCTAGGTAAGTGGACTCGTCTCTGTGTGTGCCGTTATGTGCGTGTAGACATGGGTGGGGTGGGGTGGGGTGGGGTGGGGTGGGGTAACGTGTTAACGTTCATCAATACATAACATGTGGAATTACAAAAAAATGCGTTTTCGCCTAGGCGAAATACTTCTTTTTTCATTTCCTGCACCAGAATAAGGGGGTTTCTTGTCTTTCAACTCACATCAAAACAATCCAGGTCGAATTAGTTGGGGAGTTCTGAGAAACATCAAAAATGATAGTTTCGCCTAGGCGAAACGCTAGATTTTGATTTTATGCACCAGAATCACGGGTTTTTCGCCTTTGAAATCACATCAACCAAAATCCTATTGGCAAGACCACATCAAACATCATCCATGACACCCCGTTGATCACAAAAACACCACGGCCAGATAAAGGCCGTGTTCCTAGTTCCATCATCATTTTGGCAGGGTTCAATGTCAAACAAAGTAGAATATAGACTGAAAGAAGCAGAGATGCAGCAAGCAGGGGTCATTGCAAACAATGTTCTAGTCTGTTTCAGACTTGCCACCTAAGACTAAGTACAGCAGAACCTAGCACAGAAAAAAAGTGAGGGGCACGGAGTAATTTGTTTTTATTCGTTTTAATTTGTTTTAATGTTTAATAATTTGTTTCAATTTTTTGATATTTTTTGATATTTCAAGCATATTTTTTTATATGATTTATAATTTTTCATTCTGGCCAGCCATGGCTGATGAGATACCCTTTGATGGGGTACCCAAGCCTGACAATTGAGCCAGGCGAGCGCGGGCAGGTCCAATCTTCGACAGGCGCCGAGATATAAATGGGCAAAAAAAACAGGGGAACATCATCGTCATCCAACAACAACATGGGCATTTTTCCATTGTCATGTTTGATTGTGACATAAGGGAGGGAACATATATGAAAATATATGGGAAGATGATTGATTGATCAATCATCCTTTCATCGGGAATTATGAGGCAATCCTATGTTTATTTTAACATTTTTAACTATAAACTAAAAAATGATGTAGACCTGGGTCAGTGAGCATGTGGATTCCTGATGTGGGGTACAGTTTTGTGAACGGACATGATGCATATATGAGCTATTATATTTCTGTTGTTAATTTATCCAATCTGGTTCAATATATGATTTAGCTCAATTTATTCAAATATGGAAAGGACCAGACGATCTGTCAATTAGGACCATGATATGATCATGGTCAGGAACGCATGCTGGAAGCATGGGTAACATTGGGTAACCTATGGTAATCTATGGTCGGTCACACGGTGACTCGAAGACATTTGGGTCCGTTTACGTTGATTTGATCAAGGAATCTATATCCGCGGCTTCCTAGGCCTGTTGGCTTCCTCTGCCAACGGCAAAGCTGGTTTCCCCTCTAAAACGTTTTTTCCTCCGTTGCCTTGGGTACACCAACGAGTGTTACGTCAGACTTGGTTCCATATGCTTCGGACATCTTTGGATCTATCTGGATCCTGTGGTGCTCCATTTTTGGGTACCAGTCCCCCCTCCAGGTCTTGAAGCATCTTGAAGCCACCAGTTTCATCATGTCTGCAGAAAGGTATCTGCAATCAGCAGCAGCCGAAGCAGTGGCTTTGGGCCCGCAGCCTTTGCCACAGGTGGCAAGGGGTGACAAGAGCTGGTGAAAGATGTGATGAAAGGTGGTGAAAGGATGTGAAAGGAAACAGACACAGACTTGGGAAGGATTTGGATGATTTGTTTGTGACTGGTTGCTTGGGATGTCACTATCCCTGTGGGTTTGTTCAAGAATAGGGGATATATATAATATAATAATAATAATAAGAATAAAAATAATAATATACCATGATATACCAGAACTAATCCAAAATTGCCGTTTCAATGGGCAAATGATAATCTACTGAGTTTAGGGGTGCTCGGATCTTGGTTTTGGACAAACCCATAAGCTGGGAGTGATGCTGAACTGCAGACTGCTTGGCTCAAGCTGGCGCACTGCAAACCAGATCCCCTTGTGTTGGTGCCATAGATTCCGTCACCCCGGCGTCATTTCCATCGCGGCTTGTGGCCAGAACCCCCCCAAAAAAAGAAGGAGGGCTATGGTGTTCTTTTTTCATGCCAGGCAGCCATGATTTTCTATTTTGTGCTGGGGAAGGGGATGTGCAAAACATGTTTAATTGTTCAAAGGTACAACTTGGTTGTTGTTTATTGTCAGGACAACATTGGGCTTTGCACCTGGCGGTGTCCAGCTCTTTGCGGAAGGAATCGTGCTTCTGAAACCAAACACGGAACTGAACTCCCCAAAAACGGCTTTGGAGGACGACTGTCCCATGGAAAGTCGCCACTGTTTTGAGATCAACATGGAGTGTACATCCACAGAGCTTCAGCCAGGCCTTAAAGCTCCAACATGTCTGACGACGAGGAGGAAGAGACCCAACAAACCAACAAGAGCCTCGCTTTGCCGATGGCGGCCTCCAGCGCGATGGGTTTGTCTAGAGGGTACGGCAATTTACGGCATCTTATGGCAATCCATGCATAATGATCACATCATGATAGAATAGTATAAAATATGATAAGGTCTTGGTTTGGAATGTTTGGGATATATACTCCTATTTTTGGGCAAACCCATTGCGTTGTTTTTTTTCCCCACCTGCCAGGGTCTCTAGATTTTAACAAAGGTGCAACTCCTCCTCTTCTTCCTCCTCTTCCTCTTCGTCTTCTCCTCCTCCTCCTCCTCGCTTGCTGCACTTGCTGCACTCGCTGCCATATCGCCAGCTCCGGATTCTGTGGAGTGTGCCTGGACCCGAACACCATACCGTCAGCTCCTGGGGCACGCCTGGGCCCGAAGGCATGCCAGAGAAAGTGCCAAACAGAATGTCAGAATAGATGCCAGACAGAATGCCGGAAGAGAATGTCAGAGAGACTGCCAGATAGAATGTCAGAACAGATGGCAGATAGAATGCCAGGAGAGAATGTCAGAATATAGGGCAGAAAGTATGTAAGTGTGTCAAGTAGATGCTAGATAGAATGTCAGCTAGAATGTCAGTGCATATGCCGGAAAGAATTATATATATAAACATGTTATTTGCACAAACACACACATATATATATGCATATGTATATATATATATCCCATACATACTTCCAGATGGCATGTCAGAAATATGTCAGAATGGTGTGTCAGGTGGGGATAACTCGAAGAAAGTATGTTTTTCTAATACTGTTTGAGCGTCCAGAAGTTTGATGAAGTTTGAATCATTTGCATCAAGCTGGTGGTTATGATGCATCTGAGTTTTGAAGGTGTGTTCCTGAGGAAGTTGAGCCATTTTGACCCAGGTCTTGAAGGTTTCATGGTGGACAAATAAAGAGTGGACCATCGAGACTTTTTTGTCTTGAAAACTTATAAGATTAAAATTGGACTAAGGAGCTGGATGGAGCTGATAGATTCATGGTTCCCGCCGGTCACGCCAAAGGTAATTGAGCCTCACATATAGTATATATAACCCACACAAGAATGAAACAAGGAACACGTATTTCCAGGATGATATTGATATTTTTTCACAATTTGTTCTCCATTCATTTCCAGGTTTTGCCTACATTTTATTTCACATGAGTGAACTTGCCTTGTCCTTAGGATTGTCCTTCCCGAGTTTCACGAGAGGCGTGTGATGGAATGATAATCCAACCAAATCCCCAAACCCCCTAGCAGTAACCATGGTTTAGCAGGAAATTACTAGGGAAATGCACATCAATTGGGACCATAAAACCTGATTTAGGTGATGTTTATATAAGGGGGGTGGGATGAATCCCAAGAATTTCATTGCTATTATGGTGATTATGGGCCGCAGCCACCGGATATCCGGGGTCAGCTCCATTTTGCGATGATAGAGCCTATGTAACATTGCAGCATCTTGCCGGGCCAACCTGATTTCTCCTTTTTGGTCTTGCGGGGACAGTCATGCGCCACAGCGTGACCAAACATGATCATTTTCATAGCGAAACCATGGGTTTTCCATATGTTGACCCCGCGGTAAGCTTGATTCCAGCTACGAATCCCTATATGTTTGATGAATTTGTTCAATCCCCGCGTTGGATAGTCAGAATTATCCTGTGTATGATATGCACCCAAAGGTTTGCCCAGGTTTTCGGGATGCAGGATGGGCAGTTCATCCACAGTACAGCTAGAGTCACCAAGAAATCCCCCTGACTCCTGTGAGTTCAACTGCTCGTGATTTTCTTAGTTTGATCCTCCCCTGTGGCCATGAAGATTTCGGAAGGCACAATGAGCTTCGTCCAGACCTTTTTGAGAAGATTTTGGTGCTCGCCAGCGATGCAGTTCTGGCCCCGGTGGGTCAAGAGGTGATGGGCATCACCCGGTGTGAATCGGAAGTAACAGGAACTCTGATGGTTCTTGAGCAAAATTAAAGGTCAGTGGAGCAAACGAATCTTGTACCTTGCACTGCGCGGCCCAGAGGCACTGCTTCACCCTGCTGGACTAGTTCACCTTGTTTGCCCCCCAGCTGTGCCATGCTTTTGTGCCCAGGTGCAGAAGCATAAATTACAGAAGGACATTGCACAGCATATCAAGCAGGCAAGGCGGCGGTTGAACGGATTGCATCCTGGAGAGTTGTAGGATGAGTTGTTCTGTGTATTTATGCGCTATGAATTGGAACGATTGGACCCCAAAATGTGTCAAGCGTGTCGCTTAGGCCCAGGCGTACCTTTCTGAATCACTTAGGGGCTGCTTTGTTGGAAGAGCTTTCGAAGGTCCCGTGTCCTCCGCCCTAAAACCACTGATCCCCATGTTTGGCCCCGATCAATAACCCTACCATAAGCCCAGAGGCTTCCCCTGAAGGTGTATAAACATGTATAAACATTATAAACATTTATAAACCATATACAGATAGATGGAGAGAGAGAGGGATAGGTCACCCCTCGGTGATCTAAAAATGTCGGCCCAAATAGGAAGGTCATCCCGGACCCGATTAGCCTTACGAGGTGGTGCCCTTCAGTTATGCTCGCTTTCTAAACCCGTCCAACTATAAATATAGGTCTATATAAACCCATCTAACATCATCGAATACTATGGAATACTATGTAGAATGCTATAGGATACTGTAGGTAATACAGGTCTATAAAATCAATCTGCCTATATACATAATGTATATATATATATATCTTAATCATTATATATATATACCCTCTGGTTATTTAGCATAGCCATGGTATAGATGGCCCATTTATAGATGGTTTACCTATTTAAAATGGTGATTTTCCATGGCTATGATAAATAATCAGATGGCACATTATATAGACATCTAAACCCATCTAACTATCGATCGCTGGCAAAAAAGGCCTTGGACACAGACGTGGAGTTCAATGAACTCATTGGGAAAGGACCTTGGCAGGTGACGTGTCGGCAGATGTCATGGGGGGATTAAACCAACTATATGAAATTTGGTGGTAGAAACATGTTGATATCATGGGAATATACATAATATATATATATGAACTTATAAGGCGTTTCTTTTTTTGTGTGTGGAATTGGGGCATCCCCCATATGGCAATTTCAATGGGGAAAATTATGATCAACGAGAATAGAACTGGTTTGGTCTTAGATATTGCCTATGCTCAACCACAAGGGGGAATTATGATCCCAAATAGTAAATTTTATTGGGGGTGGCTCAAACACCAACCAGAGAAACTGATAGTAAATGGTTCTGATTGATTGCTTTTCAAGTGATGTGTATGTTTGTCATAGGGAATCCCGGATTTTTCAGGGCCCACACTTTGTGAAACGCTTGGTGTACCTTCCTGCAATGAAACCCTCATTTTCCTTATGTTTCTCCGTGGGCAATCATTTTCGTGTTCGTGTTGAACATGCTAATTATAATTGGTGTCAAACGATGATGATGAAACGGTTGATACTTTTTTCAATGGTATTCATTTTTTTTGCCCAGCATATACGCCATGGTCAAAACATTGGCTATAGGCTATATTGTCATGAATCTGAAAGAGGATGGCCATCCACACGTTTATGGAGTTAACATACCCATTATAACGATGCCAATTTTATGAGATGGATGACCATACCCCACCATGTTTTGACCACAGCACATAGAGAAACCCCAAATTTATAGAAACGTTGGAAACCTGGGGAAACATGATGTATAACATTCTGTTTCGTTATTTTATTTGGGGAGTTTCAAAGCTAGATCTGGACAATCAACCATGTATTATTTGTTAATTTTCCTATATCTAGGTGATGTTCAATCATTTTCCACCATTTTCACATCAGCCCATCAACAATGAAAATCAACCCATGGTTTCCCAATAACTTCGATGATTTTGCGGAAAAAACGTAGGTGGATGAGACACATGGCAAAGTCCCAACCCGCGTGGCCGCGGGCCGCGTGGCAGGTCATCGTAGGCCGCTCCTTTGCATCGTCTGTGACACATGAGGCCCGTAGTCTCCCGTCTCCCGTGGGTTGCGAAGTCACATGTCTTGGTGACCTGAATGGTTGATGATTGGGGTTATACGGTTACCCTCTGGTAAACAGCCACATAGCTATTGAAAATGGCCATTTAAAGTGGATTTTCCCATAAAAAGATGGTGATTTTCCATAGTTATGTGGCTGTTTACCAGAGGGTATACCCGATAGGGATGGCCGGGGATGGGATGGGATGGGATGGGAATATGGTACAGTGGCTCCATGTACCTCCAGGATCCTGGAATTCCCATTGAATTTGGGGATTAGCCTCTGGTAGACTAAACGTAACTATGGAAAATCACCATTTTTGAATGGGAAAATCCACTATAAATGGCAATTGTCATCAATTTTCAATAGCTATGTACCAGAGGGTATCATAATCCATCAAGGGAAATCCTATACACATCTAAAAAGGACACGCCGCCCGCAATGACCCCGCGCAATTTCACCTTTTTTCCAGCAGCTCAGTCTTCAGTTTTGCAACCCTTCCAGGGTTTTGTGACATTCGCATTTTGACATGACTTGCATTTCCATTGGTATTTGCATGACTTTGTAGTCGTTTTCATGAATTTACAGTGGTCGAAGCATTCAATTTTTGTCCCCATACAAAAAAAAACCGAAGTTTTTATATTTTTCACTTGCAAGTCTTTGCCAACGTGCCAAGTTCTTTCAATCTTGCAAGTCTTTCAATCCCCACACCATCAGCAACGTAACAACATGTGACGTAGCAACGATCCCAGAGATCTCTACAGCGTAGCAACATGAAATGTACGAAGTGCAAGGAACGTAAACATCCCACCCCACCCCACCCCACCCCACCCCACACCATCAGCAACGTAACAACATGTGACGTAGCAACGATCCCAGAGATCTCTACAGCGTAGCAACATGAAATGTACGAAGTGCAAGGAACGTAAACATCCCACCCCACCCCACCCACCCCCCCACACCATCAGCAACGTAACAACATGTGACGTAGCAACGATCCCAGAGATCTCTACAGCGTAGCAACATGAAATGTACGAAGTGCAAGGAACGTAAACATCCCCCCCCACCCCACCCCACACCACCCCACACCATCAGCAACGTAACAACATGTGACGTAGCAACGATCCCAGAGATCTCTACAGCGTAGCAACATGAAATGTACGAAGTGCAAGGAACGTAAACATCCCACCCCACCCCACCCCACACCCCCCCACACCATCAGCAACGTAACAACATGTGACGTAGCAACGATCCCAGAGATCTCTACAGCGTAGCAACATGTAATGTACGAAGTGCAAGGAACGTTAACATCCCACCCCACCCCACCCACCCCCCCCACCCCCCCAAAAGAAAACACAACACGCACATGGCACATCAAAACACGCAAACCGCCTGGGGTCGTTAGAGGCGGCGTGAGCAAAAACCAGCCAGTTTGTGAAGCGATGGTACATGATTTCCAACACTGCTCAGGTTTCATTATTGGATTGTCGATTAATTTCTATAGTTAATTTCTTCAAAACGCCTACTGGCTACAACATCTTTTGACGACCTGAGAATGATTGGGAATACTTGTGACCCTCTGTGTGGGAACTCCATGGTAGGCAGCTGATGTGTTTTGTCGAACAAAGGATGAGCCGCACAACTGGGGAACATCACTTCACTACACTCCATGAGTCATGCACGAAGTGATCCTCCTTCAATGTATATAGGCGATGCACATTGCGTTCTTCGACTTGCCCAAGCATCAGGAGAGGGACTGCAATGGAAAAAATCATTGGCAGCGCTCCCATTGACCCTACCTGCATGAGTGAAACGAGTGAAACAGTCATGCTCACATCGCTCACATCATCCCTAGAGGATGCTTGTAATGCATGGGCACTCATAGATGGGATCAAGCCCTACATCAAATCATGTGCTACTGTAGATGATGATTTATGGCATACAGCTATGCCTGTTGAAATTTGGGGATGATGAACTTGATGGGATCCGGGGGAACCATGGTGAACTTTAATTGCCTGGCATTTTTTTTTGTACATTGGTAACCATTGGTATTTATGTTATTCATTGTTATTCTATATGATTATAGTCTATATGAGCACATATGATTACGCACATATGTGTATACATATATATATGTGATATTTCATGGTGTGCAACTGTTTGTGTTACGCGACCACGTTATTTGGTAGTACCTGTTTAGCAACCGTTTATTTAATCTGTGACGACCAAGCAGCTTTTTTGCCAGCCTTCCTGCCGTGGCCGTTGCAGGAGACATTTCTGATCTACAAGTCCTTGGGCGTTCAAAGCGTTTGATGCGCGGCTGTATCTTTCCCAAAAATGGTGCCCGGCCCCGGGCCGGCAGGCGTTGTGCAGCAAGGCCAAAGCATTCCAGCAATGGCTGAAGCTCATGCTTCAAACCAGCTCTTTCAGCATGATAATGCATGTGTTTATTAAAAAATATGTTTTACATCACTTCACATGTGATTTTACCATATATTTTACCATAGAGATGTGCAGATTTCGCACATGTTGTGGTTTCCCAACTGTCGGGATGCTGATTTCACCGATGCCGGCTGCAAGCGCAGCAGCGCAGTGTAGGGACGTGTTTGAAACTGAACAGTCGTCCCATCCGTGTCACTGTCGACTCAATTTTTGCACGCGCAGGCACCCTACCCTGTCCTCACAAGTGCGACATTTATTATCTCAAAGTTTGAAAGATGCTGGCGGTGCATAGATTGTATAGGTGCCTTCTGCAAGTGGTTTACACATGTTTACACTTGGGGTATCCTTCATAGACACCCCAAATTTGAGGTACCTCGTGCCGTGCTGTTGCGAATCCATGGACTTGTTTGCATGACGCCGGAACAGAAAAATGCAGCGGTTCATGGTGTCATCATCACCTTTTCTGTTTGCCGCCTCCTGATAGGTAGCGTGAGGTTACTCGGGCAGGGCTTGAACCCCACCAAGATTTGTCTCAAAATGGGAGTTTTGCCGCGCAAATGAATGGTAATGTTAACAGGAACTGATTTTGGGCCAATTTTCCGACAAACACCGGTGCTCTAGTCATGCCATGATTCGGAAATATGTCCCATGTCGCATGGTCAGTAGCCCAACCTGGCTTCAAGCATCAGTCAGAAAACCAGGAAGTGGCCATCATAGGCATAGCCGCCAGTGTTCCATAAGTCTGTCACCTGGGGATGTTGCAAACCTTATGATACCATATATGATACCATTATTAATTATATAATTGCAAATATGTGGTGATGAGCATCCGCTTAGACTCTGTACAACGTCACTTTTTGGCTTTTATTTGTTTGTAGTTTCGGTGCTTGTTGTGCGCTTCGCGACTTAGAGTATCTTAACCTGTGGCAGACAGAACAAAAACTGTTGCAGGGCTGAATACCTACCAGCTCATAGCAGGCCCTAGCAAAAAATAGCAGGGTCCTCTGTGTTGGTTGGAAGGATGGCAATCCCCTTGACGAGCATAATCCCTTTGTTGGGAGGATGGCTTGTGAATTTACATGCATTTTCCCCATTGTTTATTTTTGATGGTCGATTATTCACGGCTACCAGATTTCATAGGGAGAACTGATCAACCAAATACCTTCCGGCAAGCATGGCTGGCCCGAAAATCCACCAATTAGATCCATATACTGTGAAGATTTTCCATATTTTTCCAGCTATAAACCTCCATTTCTAGCGGATCTTCCATTTACAAACGACATTTTTCGTACCATGTTTCGTGGGATTTGTGCAGCCAGCCACGTTGCCAGGTGCAGCAGTGGCCCTGGCTGCATCCGCCTCCCGGCGTCGAAGCACCGGAAGCGTCTTGCGCCGAACACGAAATCACCAGGCGCAATCTGGGCGCCGAATGTGGCTGAATGTATCTTAATGTGGATTCATGGATATTCATGGTACTCAATAATTAGATATATTATATAGATATATGGGTATGGGTCAATACCTATAGATACATTTTTAGTGGGATGAACATCCATTTACCAGCTATTTTGGGGTTCACTAGGTACCAGGGTTTTGACCCATCCCCATATGTTTATTAATAAGCCATTATTATCAACTATGGTACTGAATAATGTGGATTCATGGTACTCATAATTATAATGATATACTAAAAAGCCATCCCAAATCGCCATGTTTATGGGAGGATTGAAACCATCCCCGTTTTTGGTAGGTTGATGGACCCACCCTACTTGCCCTACTGAAAAACTGAGTTTGCAACTCATCTTGAGTAAATGGAATCAGTCACCAGGTAATTTGTGAGGATATTCATCAACCAAAATCTTGGGTGCATGTTGCATTTTTTAAGGGTGTAAGGGGTGAATAATAGAAGCTGGACATGACATATTAAATGGGTGGCATAGCTTAATCCCCCGGCGACTTTTCTGATGGCGCTGGAGAGAGAGAGAGAGAGTCCTCAATTGGAGGTTACGCGTATTATACATATACATATATATATATATATAGATAGTTTCCAATTTGTCATAGAACTTGGACAGGGCAATTCCCTTTATGTAAAGATATGATTACATATCTACGAAAAACCGTATAGATTGGGTCTGGGTTTGCCACGCCACAATACAAATGCCATTCCGGGCAAGTAGTAACGACGAGATAAGGGAGTTCTGGCTAACGAGGTGAGAGCATGATGAAAGCTAAAACTGCGATTTTGGTAACATGTGCTGAACATCTACCTAAATTTACACCATTTTCTAGTGGGCATCTCGGCATTTGTTTGCCACAGAGCTATAATTGTTTTACAGATGATCATCGGAACTGTTGAAAAGATGGATTCATCTCAAAATGAGATAGGGTTCCCCGATACACATGGTACTTAGATTTACTTTGTAGTGTTTGAAATGACCCCATGGAACTATATGGAACTCACAGAAATTCCATTTCCCTTGAGGTTTCTGCCGTGGCGATGCACGGCACACCCGTGTGTGCTGGGGTGGTCATCACCGGTGGTGCCGCTGGAGTGGGCTTTGCTTATGCAGACGAATTCCTGGCACGGGGACACCAGGCGCATGCCATGGTGAGAGAATATCAACTGAGGATTGATGAGGTTTTGTGGTTTAATTACCCTATGGTTATGACTAACATAGCCATGGAAAATCACCATTTCTAATAGGTAAATCATCTATAAATGGGCCATTTATACCATGGCTATGTTAAATAATCAGAGGGTAATTGAATTTCATTGATATGGGGGGAATGGGCAAGGTGCCACGTTTCCAAAAAGGGAAATTGGCTATCATGTTCAGGGGTAGCCTGACCTCATCAACCAAGGTTTGAGAACCTGGGGCCCTGGTGTTCTCATCACTTATGGAATTCTCTATGTTGAAGCCAGTGAAATTTTACAGTGTTTCAATGGGTTGCCATGCCTGTGAGATTATGATATTTAGATGGCTAAAGATGCCGAAAAAGGGCACCAGGGCACATCGCGGCACCAGGGCCGGCTCGCAATGGGAATGTCATTTTTACCCAGCAATGGGAATGACTAGGACTTCTGTCATAAGCGGTGCCCCAGTTTGTTAGCTAAGTGGATGTATAAGTCCAATAACTCGAATTTCTGGATGTTTAAGGATGTTTAGGGGTAGGTACATCGAGCTAGTCAATGGCGTTCCATAGAGTTTCTCAGGACACCATCGCCTCGAAACATGTTTGCTAAACACCAAGCCATTTAAGCATCCTTTCTGCCAAACTTGAGATGACCATCCGACCATCCCTGGGGATTTGGGGGGTACGCTGTTTGTTCTGGAGGTGGTCATTTGCGATGTCAAGGACCTGGGAAGGGACCGATCTTGTTCCGTACTCGGATTGCGGCCATTGCGGCGTGCTGCATGCTTGAATGAGAAGACTCATGGGTTGTTTAAGTAATTTATGATCATTTTACCATAATTTTTCATACGCTTCTTGTTTGATAGGCTACGCTTGAGGTGCAGCAATGGTGGGGGGCAGGTGAGGCCCAGACCTCCGTAGCTGGATAGTGAAGGATGCCGTGGCATCGCATGCGGTCCTGGAACACCAAGGGAATGGGATTCAGAGCTTGGAGCCCAGGATGTGTCTAACTGATCTTCCTAAGAGGATACCTCTTAGGTGTTATCCCCTCTGTAGGCACCCTGTTGCCAGGGCGTATCTCAGTTGCAATGCCAAACCGGCGAAGGATTGCTCTGACGCGGTGGAATCCCTGAAGAAGAAGCACGGAGAGAAAGCAAGCAGCCTGGCTGCTGTGAACAGCTTCAAGGAACTTAGTTTGATTTACGGTATGCATATATAATTATATATGTAATATGTTTTGATTCATGCCTATATCACTTGGAAAATTATACTGCAGCAATGTGGAAGAATTTTGAACATGTCTGGCATCCACATCGGATTGTGGTGAGTTGAAGCGGGAAACAGCGCACCCAAATGCATCCAAATTCTTATGATAGGGTCTTCAGCAGGGCTGAAGGGGCCCCAGCGGCGAGGCATTTTTAGCACCGTGTGCGATGTGTCGAACATCGAGAGCATCAACAAACTGATTGACTTTGTGAAGGACAAAATTGGAGTTGTGCACTACTGGCCGCTGGGAAGGAAGCACATTGATTGACCCAGTCCCATTGACAATAACCTGATATATCGGACCATGAAGGGGCCCACCAGTAAATCAGGGTTTGGATGGGTTTGGTGGGTCTTTTATGATTGGGAGGAACAGTTCGCTGTTTTTTGAACAGATCAATCATAAAGGTGCATTGGAGAGATGGTTGCTCACAATGAGAATGATCCTGCTGACTGGGAGTGGAATCTGCGGGTTGTTGGACCGGGTGCCTAGGGTGCTGCGATTCAATGGTGAGCAGATCCAAGGTCTAGAAAATCTATGAAAATCTGTTCGCTGACAAGTTATGATGAGGCTCATAAGGCTCTGGCTACAGGACATTGCAGGACATTTAAAAATGAAAAATCATGAGCACAACTTTGAAGCACGTACCATGATCCATGGGCATTTGACTTTTTGTGCATGATTGAAAAACTAGACCTATGGGCCCATGACTTCTGCGTTGTGCAGCTTGACCCATGAAGCTGAGCTCAGGATCAACAATGCAGGCATCAACGGTGGCCGAAGACGCTTCACCGAGATCAGCCCTGAAACGGTCGAGGCCGTCATTCGCCGCTTGCTCCAAGCTAGGTACCCTCTGCTTATTTAACATAGCCATGGAAAATGGCCCATTTATAGATGGTTTATATACCTGGGTTTACCTATTAAAAATGGTGATTTTCCATGGCTATGTTAAATAACCAGAGGGTAAATGAGTAAAAGGTAAATGATGGCAAATGAGAACCGGAACGGGGAGAAATGGATGGGAACGGCTGAGTTTGCTATGGTTTGCTTGACTATCTTTTATAACTATCAGGGTTTGAATTTCCTCTACGAAATACGTTAGCCCGGGTTAGGTACAAAACAGGTTTGGACCTGAAAATTGTACCCCAAAAACATCTTGGGCTGAAGATTGTGTACCAAAGCCGGTTTATCATTTAAACAAAATGAACCTGGTTTGGCATTTTCTAGTGCTTCCATGTGGTTTCTTGATTTAGCCAATTTACATCAATTTACGCACCTTGTATCTTTGTTGTTGGGACCAACCCTGGATGTTATCGTTACATGAGGTGAGGAGCCGATTCTGTGAAAAAAGCGAACGGATCCAAGACATGCCATGATGTGACTATGCGGATATTTGCTGGTCAACAAGTCCTACTGAAGCTTGATAGGTCGGTTGGGTTTCTGGCCTTTCATTGAGGTGTGAATTTGGGTCTCCTGGTGGCAGTTCAGAACGGGATTGACATTGGCTGAAGCGGTGTAGCCAAAGGGGCACAGGGGCAGCAGCTCACAAGACCAAACCCCGCTTCTTTGGTTGCCCAAGCAGCAGTCGATGTAGACATATTCATATTCATATTGTTGTTGAGCAGGAAAACATTTTTTTTGCCTTTCTGCCTTCGTAGGTGCCTTTGGAAACCCAAGAAACACAACCACCTGTTTGAACTTCATGGAACCCAAAATATCTCAAACCTTTTTTGGGGAGAATTGAAGGCAGGTTCTGAAAAACTTAACGCCCCTGCCCCTGGTCTTCAAATTTTCAAAACTGTTTGAAAGTTTTCGGAAGGTGACTTAGCGGTGTTGCCAGTCGGAATGATAAGATAATTGTCACCATCCCCACCATTGGAACCATTGAACTTTATTGTACTTGTTGTTTGGGTAGCCTCCCTGTTTTGAAGCACCTGTCTTTGAACCTGGAGGTCATGGACGTTGCTTTGCAGTCTTGATTTTGGATGAACTTTTGCTGAATAATGGAATGGGACTGTGATAGATTCTGTGAAACATATTAGAACATATTAGAACATCGATGGCCATATTACATGCACCAAAATCATCACCAAATCTGGTGCCCCGGGGATAGCCATAGCCACATAGCCACATAGCCAGCCATAGCCAGCCATAGCTGACCGAGGTGGAATCCTCCTTTGCACCCATGCTGCAATGCGCGTGATGGAGCAACAGCTGCTTGGAATAAAGTGGGCGGGATGCCAAGAGAGATCAGAGAGCTCGTTGGGCAAGTGCGATTGGTATCCCCCTGATGGACAACAGCATACAACAGCCAAAAAAAAACAGACTGTTGCTTTCATCATTTTTTTTTGAATGGAAATACTGTACCGGTTTCAGGATGTATTACTGTATGTGCTTCGCTCTGTCTGTTCCGCGCCTCCTCACCATGAGGGACTTTTCTGATGGTGCTGGAGAGAGAGAAAGAGAGAGAGAGAGAGCTTATGTGTTTGTCTGTTTTTCACTTCATGTGAACTTCATGTAGCTAATATCTGCAAACATTATCAAACATTTGATCATTTGATTATATTTGCCAATATTTTTCCGTTGTCTTCCAGCTATGGTTGCAATTGATCCGACATGAATCAACACCTGCTGCGCCTTTGAGGGCTGGAGTTGAAAGCCACATTTTCAACACGGTGGGCAGCGGCGTCGCTTGGAAAGCTGTGGTTGCGGAAGTCAGGGGTCTCATGTTGCAGCTGATGATTGCCAAGTGGCAAATTATGGCAAAATCATGCATTTGTCAGGTACTTTGTTTGCTTGCTAGCTCTATTTGGGGTTATGCCCGCATCAAGAACCATCCAAAACTGTGGACTTGCAGCTGGCAGGCCAGATCCTGCAACCAAATTTCAGCACCACCAATTGAAATACTTTACATGAGATCCAAAGAATTTTATGCAACATGACCAAGATATGATACAGGACAACTGTAGAAAGGCTCGGGGATGGAAAGTATTTAGGACCCAAGGCCATCCAAGGCCCCTATTTCAATCTTGATTGAAGCAACAACTCATTGGACTGAGATCCGCGATTGTGATAGGACCGACTATCAAGGGTTTAACCAACCAAAATGGGGGAGAGAGATAGGTGCAGTGATTGGGAACCAACCATGTTCCTACGCATTTTCTACACATTATATGTTGTGCATGCCCATGTAAATGCAGACAAATCTCTGTGTTTGCATTTTTGAATGTATATTTAAACATATTGCATGATTTTTGCATGTGTATATATAATTATATATATATGTATATATGTACGTATCCAATTAGGACATGGCATTATGGTATCAACAATTATCAACGCGTATCAACGCAATATAAAACAATAACATGATGTACCAAGCAACCAACAACCAGAGCAGCGGTGTCGCCGTTAGGTCAAGGGTGGTGGCACTCCAGGCTATGTGGCCTATGGCGCCACCAAGCGAGGCTTGCCGCAGATGACGGAGTCCTTGGTGAAAGAATTGGAGGACAGGGGAAAGACATGATACAGGCAGGATGTGTATATATATATAATTATATACATATATATAGATATATATATATATATGTATGGTGTATATTGCACACACACACACATATATATACATACGCAGTTTGGTGCCCCATACTTAGCTACGTAGAAATATCACTCCAATAACTTGGCTTGATGCTTGATATGTCTAGAGTCTATAGTTGAAGGGGATTATTAACCGGCCACTAGCTTGTAGTAATCCCCACGAAGATAGAAAAGTATAATCCTACTAAAATAGTGATGATTGTATGATAATAGTATACTTTACTTTTCTATAATTATATATTTTCTGGCGGCCATTGACAACCCCTATAAATGGAGGTTTTATATAATGGGAAACTCATAATTATCAATGGGAACATTTTCCAGCAGCCCCCATGATTGATTACCAGAGAGGTTCATGGGGATGAACCCCAAGACTCGGGGTTTGGACGATGTTGGTCAGATTTTCCAATTGGATGTGGGAATTTGGGGGTTCCATGTGAAATTTGCTGTAGACCAACCATTCTTCAGAAGGGAACCCCAAGGGAACCTCGCTCGCAGGAGGGCGTGCAGGGGCAACTTGGCGGAGCCAAGTGATCCATTCCCGGCGGAGCCTAGTGGTGAGACTATAGAAATATATGATTGCTCATATTGGGGGATGGTTGACCCTGGCCATTTTCAAGCATCAACAAGCCATGTTCATTGGGATTTTTATGGATTTATATATTACCCTCTGGTTATTTAACATAGCCATGGAAAATGGCCCATTTATAGATGGTTTACCTGGCCCATTTATAGATGGTTTACCTGGGTTTACCTATTAAAAATGGTGATTCCCCATGGCTATGTTAAATAACCAGAGGGTATATTAACCATTCCTGGGATGTTGACCCAAGGTATGATGCCGTGGAGACTCCCGGGAAGGTGAACTGCCATTGCCTTTCGCCCGGCATGGTTTGAAGCTCAGCCAGCTGACGTTGATCCCAAGCTTTCAAGCTTTCAAGCCAGTAATTCAACCTGGCCTGGGCCATGGACAATCACCCATGTATATTCAGAGATGATTTGGTTTTGATTTATCCCAAGTTATCTCATAATTCTCATATTTTCAATTGAAAGTGATGAATTCCCATCAGCTTCCCAGCTCCTCCCATTGCCAAAAGTCGTTCGATGTCCCTTTCATCGAGGTATCTCTAGACCTTTTGTGTTTGCTGTGAATAGACTAGGTGGAATGGATTAGATTTGAATGGGTGTTAGGTAATAATATGTCGTGATAAATTGAGATACTGATATGATCTGATATGTAGGTAGGTAGATACGACTTACGATAGAGGAACAGAGAACGATAAAGATAAGATGAGAGGAAAGGATTGCGTCGGATCGGATCTGACTGATTACTGTAGACACTGTAGATCAGATTTGATCAGATAGGTCAGATAGGATGTTCTTGGATCGTATCAATTAGACAGAAAGACACACAGACAGATAGATAGATAGTTTGCTACGCAGCAGACAGATAGACAGAAAGAACGATAGATTAACTATATGTAGAGAGAGAGAGAGAGAGACTGTAGATAGACAGGTATACATTCATGTTGTTCTAATATCTCGGGAAATATTCATGTTTTTGATTTTGTAGGGTTTTGCGTTTTCAGGACATTGAGGCAATGCTTCAGATTCTGTGATATGCTTTTGGTTTTGTAGAGAAATTGGCTGAACCATGATTTTCATTTCATGTGATTTTATGGGTTCAATGGGTTTCATAAATAGTTGGCATTTATGTTCATACATATGTTCTATCATTTTCATACCATGGAGGTTTCCTAAGTCATGGGGGTATCCCTATAGTTACCATCCATTTCATTCCATTTCTAGATGGGATGTTCCATGAAAGTCATGAAATAACCATCCATTTATGGAAACCCCCACATATAATATCATATAATCACCATACAGGATGGGGCCCCCCAGTTATAACTGGGTTTATAAACCCTTATAACCCCTATTAACTATAGTTATATCTACCATAAAGCCACTTTATAAGGCAACTTAGCTATCTTGGGGGCCCCATCCTGTATCGATATGTCACGTTTCACAAGATGCCATTTCCCGTCCCGTCCCCCGTTGATGTTCGGACCGCCGCCAGCTCCGTGGCATGGCCTCCTGATAAGATTCGTATCGCTTGTAACTGGTTTTACTTTATATATGTGGTATATATCTGGGTAAATTATAACGACCTCACTGCGACCTCACTGGAATCATGGTTAGTAAGGGGAATCATCCCCAAATGGCCTTAATTCAGGTTAGTGAAATATTTTAATTCACCCAGACATATATATATATATATATACATTTAGCTGACTGTTTTTACAAAAAACAATAACTACCAACAAAGCAATTTCTTGACCATCTAAAAGTTTGAACATTTATATCCCTGGTTTCTACTTTTTCTGTGCGTGAGATCTGTGAGTATATTCATGCCCACCCAGTGGCATGAACTTAATGTTCAGTTCAATCACTCATTATGATCAGTTTAGTTCTTTTTTGGATTTAAAGTACCATACAGGGATAAAGTTTGGGTCACTATGCTCAAGCAATATCTCAGATTGCACGGGCGTGGTGAAAATTTCAAAGACAATACCAGAAGCAAAGTGCCACAACGAAGCGGCTGAAAAATTAAAGCCACGACACAAAATCAGAAACCGCCCCTACATCATTGATTTTTAGACCCCAAACAAAGGTATCTCTACAAAATCCAGTTGTTTCTGGTATGACTTTTGAGATCTTTTGAGGGTGTATTTGAACTATATAAGTTTTTAGTGCCTATATATACAAGGTGGGTTTCCGTGATTTGGATTTTGTAGAAGCGCTGGGTGGGGTTGGGTGTTTGGATGTTGTAGGCCTGAAAGTTTCCTGTTCAAATGCTATGTTTTTGGTTTTGTAGAGGCCGCTCTGGTGTTTTCCAGAAATCTGTCTACAAAATCTGAAGCCCCAACCCCACCGGGTCCATTTTTGGAGGTCGGTTCATATCCCATATAAATCATATACCCTCTGGTAAACTAACATAACTATGGAAAATCACCATTTTTAATGGGACAATCCACTATAAATGTCCATTTTCAATAGGTACGTTAAATTACCAGAGGGTAATACCTGAACCGATACTTTTGGGATGCTTTGAGCCAGGTCTTCACCGATCTCCTCCTGAACGACAGCACCCCGGAACTTCGAAAGTTCCCCTTCGGCGTGTTGGCCGCGCAGCCCGAGGAGGTCTGACTGCGCGAACGCAGCCCGAAGCCGGGCTTAAATAAATTGGGAAATTGGGATAGAGATCCCCGGACAAACAAACCAACCTGGAGCTGAAAAATCTCTGATTTAAAGCTACTAGTGCCTATATCATATATATATATGTATATATATAATTATATATATAATATGCGGTATTCGTTGATGGATGATGTTCACCCCTGGAAAGGTGGCAGCCGACCTTGTCCCCAAGATCATCAACGTCAGCGGCAACGGCAAGTCGGTTCCTGGTCGTCCTTTAAGCCGATCAGCCCTGGAAAGTGTGGAGGGTCGACACCACCAGATGGGGAAGATCCTAATGTTGCATGTGACACCTATGGAAGACCCACTGGTGACACCCAGTTGGTGACCGATCCAACATGATCCAACTGTTGAAGACCTGATAAGGAAACTGTTGTGAAACATGCTAAAGCTGTTTAAATCATTTAAAGCATTCCAAAGCCTTTTGAACATTTTGGGAACCTATTTTTCAGGTTGAGTTCCTGACAGTGGACAAGATTCTCACCAAGTTCTTTCAGAGGTTTATCCTTGGCGTCGCTTGGCCCACACTTGGTGCAATTTGTGTTGCCGTTTGGATGCTCCTCGGATGATGGGTACCATCTTACTATCTTTTATATTAGATCAATTATTAGGTTGGATTCTCTGCTATGTTATGGCACCCAGCCTCACGTCACAACACTGGCGTGAGGAGAAGTCCAAGTACATCGATGATGATGGGAACGTGATCAAAATGCCTGGTGCGGACTATGCGGACTGCTGCCACGGGTGTTCACTTGCTTTGTGCTCCGTTGCAAATGCCAGAGAGCCCTTGAGTGTTGAATTTGATAACAGCAGTTCGGTGGCAGAATAGAAGACTAGATAAGACATGATAAGACTAGTGAAGACATGAGAGAATCACTGTTGTTTTCCACTTGACTTTTGTTTTGTTTATTGCACCTGAGTCTTGCAGTGCATGATCTGGCACTCCAGGACAATGGCGTGCGGGTCCTTTACAACGATATGAAGTGATGGCAGGTCAGGTTTCTTGGCGGCTTGGCGGCTTATGGGTCAAGGCTGAACACACCCAATGGGTTGAAGATTGCACGCAAAACTAACTGCCCTCTGTCTATAGATTATCTGCCTATAAAAAATGGTAATTGCCATAGCTGCGTGAAACTAGGGTATATATGCAATTGATATATATATATATGTATACACATGTGTTATAGAATACCGCTGTTTTTTTTTTCATCCTTTGGATTATTGATCAGTTTTCCGCCAATGCCAATGTTTACATTAAGATGCACAATCTGAAGTCAACTTCAAGTGTTTCTTAGTAGTAGAAGGGGTTGCGCCGCAGGATCAAACTGCTCACTTCCCAAGATAAGCCCCCCTGTGACTTTTGACTGGTGAGTCTCGGAGACTAGATACGATCACTGCATGTGCATTTATGATTTATTGTATAATTGAATGAACTTATTTGACATGTGCATGTAAATTAACACTAACTTCCATCCGTTTTCCATTGTACAAACTATTTTTTTGTGTCATCTACAGTGCACGTCCTTTTCATAGTAAACAACACTCTCTGCCAAGGACTCCGGCTGGGCTGCAGCACGATCCGGAGGCTTTTAAGTTGCGCCAAAGTGGCCAGCAGGCGCGGCAAGCATCACAGCATCTGTGTCGTACACATAATACATACACATACTTATAACTACGTATAGTAACTATATATTTATGATTATTTATGCATAATAATATGCGCACACATGCATGTGAAAAACTTGTGTTTGTTTAAACATGCGTATGTATGCTGAAATATATCTATCTATCTATCTATTTGACATTCATTCAGTTTTGCCAGGTGCGGTGATGAACCATTATTTGCACCGCTCTGTGTTAAAAAAACGCGTGATATATACATATATATATATACACATATATATACAGTACACACACATGCACACCTCTACAGACGCAACACACATACATACCTACGTACATACATACACACACACACATACATATATATATATATACACACACATATATATACATATATATATATGTATAGTATATATATATATGTATCTAGTTTTGTTGGCTAGGCAAATCGTAGAACCATTATTAATTTATGAAATATGTCAACCATTTATTGGTCAGCTTGTCAGCGGGCAGCCTGTGACTGCTTCGCCGGCGCCGCTGTCTGACATTGGCCGATTCTTCAGCCGCTGTGGCGAGTTTCGCCATGCGCTGTGACGCGGGGTGGCAAGAAACAGGCGCAGATTTTGTTGGAAAAGCAGCCGTTTTTGCGTGGTGCCCTTTGCTATGTGAACTGTTATCTATGGGAAAGGGAAATAAACTAAATAAACCAGCCCACAATCATATTCCAAACATCTCAAAACGAGTGTGGTCTTCTCATTCCGAACATATATGCAGAGAATCAAATGGCAGACTATATGGACTACTGGATCCCTTAATCAACCTGCTTTCGTTTGTCCAATTCCTGTGATTTTGCCTTCCATTATTCACAGCTACCGCTATCGCTACCCCCATCTTTGCTGGTTTATGCCAGTTTATGGGCCCAGATTTCTTTGTTGGGTATATTGGCTCCAAATCATTGCTCCCAAAATTTCTTTCACACTGAGACAGATGGAAAGCTGCAGATGGATCAGAATTTCACTGAGACATGAACTTGGCCCTTTCAGAACCTCAAGGCTAAAGCGATACAAAGTAGTATCATGTACGCCGCGGCAGACTTGACAGATGGCGATGTACACCATGGAGGGTCCACCAAGAAGATTGACACCCCCCAAGCAGCCCGGAGGTTTATTAATCCGAGTCTGACAGTAGGGCCCATGTAGCTCCTGGAAACCACCATATAGGCTATAGCTTTCAGGCTTACAAAAACTTGTTTTGATTACTAATTACTAATTCCATCTAGTTCAGATGTTTCTTTTGTGACATTCAATGTTTGTATTCAAATTTAAACCATGTTAAAACTATATAAGTCCAATCACTAATCTTTAATACAATCATTGATAGATCGGTGTATAACCATACCATTATAATACCAATCATTAATATTTTATAACATTGATGCAGATCCGGGGGAAAAAAAAAACAACAACACGTTTGGCCGCTGAGGACTCCCGCTTTAGCCCTGGGCCTGGAGTTATCATCCTTGGAGGTGGTCTCCACGGTGGGGAGCCACGGGGGCCCGTCGTGGATCTCTGGGAAATTTGAAGTCCGAGGTGATAACTTTACCCTTTGGTAAACTATGATAGCTATTGAAAATGGCCATAGTTAATTTACCCATAAATATGGTGATTTTCCGGAGTTTGTATGTCTACCAGAGGATAAGAGTCAACCATATGATGGTGAATAGTGATTGATAATGCTTAATGTTCATGCTTAATAATAACATCCAAATCAAGAAAGAACAGGAAACTATAATAAACTATAGGCTAATAGGCGTGTTTTTGTTGAGGCTTTCGCATGGTGTTCCGATTTGGAGTCATTCAAAGAACATGGTTGGTCATGTTGAATGAAATTCAAACAGCCAATATCCCATTGTGGGTGCATTTTGCTGGCTGCAAGTAAACGCTAACCCTCAAATACAAACAGTCTGGCCCTGTGAAACTTTTTTGGTCGAAACAACCGTTTATACATATGTTTCAATCGGGACATGTAGCTGCTGCTAGGTGCCTGCTAGCCCTCCACTACATACAATCTTGAAAAAAAATAAAATCTACAAACATCTACAAAATCACTTTTTTCAAGATGGCACATAGCTGCAAATGGTTACGATTCGCTGCAGACAGCTGCAGACACTTGCAGCCGCTTGCCAAAGCAGCCACTTGCAGCAACTTGGCAGCCACTTGCAGCCACTCGCAGACACTTGCCCCACGTGGCTGCAGCAACAGGCTGCAAGTGGCTGCAAGAACAGGCTGCAAGTGGCTGCAGGAACAGGCTGCAAGTGGCTGCAAGTGGCTGCAAGTGGTTGCTTGAGCAAGTGGCTGCAAGTGGCTGCTTTTTCGAAAATCAAAATGATGCACGTTTGCGGGACATTGGTCGCTTGTGACCCTAAGTACTGTTTCTACGTTTTGAAGTAAAAAAGATAGGGTCACAAGTGACCAGGTGTGCTCGAAGTCCCACACCTGCCACACGAAAATGGTGCGGCCCCTTTGTGGTCGCCTGTGACCCTATTCGTGCCCGAAGCATGATTTTTGGAGGAAGTCTCGCAGAAAAGCTTTGTTTTTGAGTTTCGTAGCTGCATTTTTGAAGGAAGTCTCGCAGAAAAGCTTCGCTTTTGAGTTTCGCAGCTTCATTTTTGAAGGAAGTCTCGCAGAAAAGCTTCGTTGTAGAGCTTCGAAGCATCATTTTTGAAGGAAGTCTCGCAGAAAAGCGTCGTTTTAGAGCTCCGAAGCTTCATTTTTGAAGGAAGTCTCGCAGAAAAGCTTCGTTTTAGAGCTTCGAAGCTTCATTTTTGGAGGAAGTCTCGTAGAAAAGCTTCGTTTAAGGGCTTCGAAGCTTCATTTTTGAAGGAAGTCTCGCAGAAAAGCTTCGTTTAAGGGCTTCGAAGCTAGGTTTTTGAGTTTGGAAGCTTCAGTTTTGAAGGAAGTCTCGTAGAAAAGCTTCGTTTTAGAGCTTCGAAGCTTCATTTTTGAAGGAAGTCTCGCAGAAAAGTTTTTGTTTTTGAGTTTCGAAGCTTCATTTTTGTAGGAAGTCTCGCAGAAAAGCTTCGTTTAAGGGCTTCGAAGCTACATGTCATTTATTTATCTATCTATCTATCTATCTATGTATCTATCTATCTATCTATCTACCTATCTAAGTATCTATCTATCTATCTATCTATCTATCTATCTATCTATCTATCTATCTATCTATCTATCTCTATCTATCTATCTCTCTCTATCTATCTCTCTCTATCTATCTTGTTATCTTATCTTATCTCATCTTATCTTATCTTATCTATTCTCGTGACCTTCCAATGTGTTGCACTGTGGTGCTCAAGTGATTGCTGAAATCCTGGGAGAAAGATTAGTTTGTGAAGTTCATGCGCGCACTTGCGCTAAAGAATTTTCAAATCGCATGTGCCAAGTTGCAGTCCTCAATTGTGGCAAATTTGGTATTGTGTCGTCCGCAGTGGCATTTTGCCAAGGCAGAAGGTGGGTGCAGCATCACGTAAACAAGAAACATATAGTTACGTATTAGGCTTCAATCTGCTTCATGTCGTATCACCGTAACTTTATACTTCATATCGCAGCACTCGACTGACTAACTTTTGCGTTCAATAGCAAACACAGTGATGAAGCGCCCTGCCGCTGCCATGAAGAACCCTAAGGGGCTGAGTTCAAGTAAATGATGTAAGAGAATGATCCCTCCCCCCCAACCAAACCCTAAATGGCTGAGTCAAGTAATGATCTAAGTTGAATGATCCCTCCCCCCCAACCAAACCCTAAATGGCTGAGTCAAGTAATGATCTAAGTTGAATGATCCCTCCCCCCTAACCAAACCCTAAATGGCTGAGTCAAGTAATGATGTAAGTAGAATGATCCCTCCCCCCCAACCAAACCCTAAATGGCTGAGTCAAGTAATGATCTAAGTTGAATGATCCCTCCCCCCCAACCAAACCCTAAATGGCTGAGTCAAGTAATGATGTAAGTACGATGATCCCTCCCCCCAAACCAAACCCTAAATGGCTGAGTCAAGTAATGATGTAAGTAGAATGATCCCTCCCCCCCAACCAAACCCTAAATGGCTGAGTCAAGTAATGATGTAAGTAGAATGATCCCTCCCCCCCAACCAAACCCTAAATGGCTGAGTCAAGTAATGATCTAAGTTGAATGATCCCTCCCCCCAACCAAACCCTAAATTGCTGAGTCAAGTAATGTATAACCCCTCCCCCCCAACCAAACCCTAAATGGCTGAGTCAAGTAATGATCTAAGTACAATGATCCCTCCCCCCCAACCAAACCCTAAATGGCTGAGTCAAGTAATG